TGACTTCTATTTCTGGTGGATTATCATTGACGTCTTTAATCTTTATAATTACTCTACACTCACCTGTCAGTGGAGGCATTCCTTTATCGGATGCCTCAACATCAAGTTTGTAAACGTCGTTTTCTTCATAGTCCACTACTTCTTTAACTCTAAATTCTCCAGTTAATTTATCTAATTCAAAAATGTCATATACTTTTTTCTTCAGAGTTTTTCCAAGGCTGTATTCAATTTCGCTGTTGGTGCCTTCATCGGAATCCGTTGCATTAATTCGAAATATTGAAGTACCGACTGGGACATTTTCGTGTAATGTAATTTGGTAAATCTCCTGACTAAACATCGGACGATTATCATTACTGTCAAGAACAATGATAGAAACATTTAGTGTCCCGGATTTTGGAGGTTTACCTCCATCAACTGCTGTAACCAGTAGCGCGTGTTTCTTCTTTTGTTCTCTATCTAACGATTTCTTCAGCACTAAAAATGGAATTTTGTCCTCATCGCTTTGACGGATGTCGACTTCAAAATATTCGTTTATAGTCAAAGTGTATGTGCGAATAGAATTACTCCCAGCATCGGGATCACGAGCAGTGTGCAGTTGGAATCGCTTTCCTGGCAATGTTTGTTCACCTATTTCAAACTTCTGTTCATTTTCAGGGAAACTAGGAAAGTGATCATTGACATCTGTAATTTCTACAACTACATAGTGCATTTCCAAGGGGTTTTCGACGAGGATTTTTAGCTCCATTATACATGCACCACCACCGTGGCAGAGCTCCTCTCTGTCGATCTTCTTATGGACATACAGAGCCCCATTGTTCTGATTTACCTCAAAAAATGTCTCCTTTGATCCAGAAACAACACGGAACCGTCGGTCAGATAACGACGTAATTTCAATGCCAAGATCCTTCGCAACATATCCAACAGCAGTTCCTTCTTTCGCCTCCTCTGGAACAGCGTATCTTATCTGAGCAAAAGCCTGCTTTCCGATAAAAAGCAACACAGCCACTTGAAACACAAACACATACTCCCTTTTTCGACCTTTTCTTTCGGCCCCCATCATTATACTACAACTTCAAAAAAACACGATAAAGGATTTTACTGCCACAAAAAAGCTTTATATCCAACCCGTTTTCCATCAAATAATAAAAAAATGCACAACGCGAATCCATCGGCTGTGCTTCATTCAAATATGTACCCTGCTGTAAATGCCAGACAAAAGATTTTTCAGGGGAGGTACAACGTCTTCAATAGTTTACCAACGTTGCAGTGACACCCGGAGGTCATTAAAGGAACGAAATATACTATAGATATAAGCAAGGATATACTATAGCTTTGTCCAATTCAAAGTTAGAAACTTTATTGAAAGTTAACACATCGCTTGTTTTTAAGTAAGATTTATTTTTATCTAACATTCACTCGTGTTCACACACCACAGGCACAGCCACCGAGCGATTTGGGGTTAAGTGTCTTGCCCAACACTTTGACATGGACTAGCGGAGCCGGGGATCTTTTGATTGAAGCACAGCCTGCGCTATCACTAAGCCACAGTCGCCCCAAATATGATCGTGTTGCTACATCATTATGTTTGAAAAAAATAGTCAAGATATTTCAGCAAACATGGGAAGCTGTCCAATCAAATGTAGTCTACCTTTCATTAATTCAGTCATGTGTTGCTCAGTATTTAAACAATGAGGCCCATACAAACTGAACACAGAGCTCAACAGAAACACCCCCAACTCTATGCCTCTCAATCCGTTACTTGATAGAATTCCAAGGACTCTTTAGAGACGCAACTGTCAAAAAATAAATTGACCAAGTGTTGCGAAGGAGATAAATGATTTATAGATGTCTTAGTAAGTCTCCTTTACTCGAGAAAAGCGTTTCAGCACCATGGACAGTTGTCACCAATAAGCAAAAAGCTGTATTTGTGGGTAATGCTTTTAAGATCTTACCTCTCCAGATGTCTGTCTCCTGTCAGGGAGCACCAGCGTGTTCGCGTGGCTTCCCGGGACTATAGTAGATCCTACACTCATTCT